AGCTCTACAGAGATCTCAGTCAGTGTAACCCGCCACAGTCTGTAACCAGGGGGAATCTGCAGGTGAGCAAAGGTTCTAGCCTTGTTAGGATATGACCGCCCTACTAGCCAGGAAAGATGCTGGAAATTCCTAGGATGGGCAAGTCATTCCTTTGGGTTAAGCATCACTCTCTCCTAATCTCTTTTTAAATCTGCACAGCTTTCCTCCCCTTGTTATAAAAGCAATTATGTGTTCATTTTAAGTCAAGTGAGCAATAAAGCCAATGTGAAAAAAAAATTTTTTTCAAGATAAATTCCCTATTGTCTTTTGAAATAATCATCATAACAAAACAGGTAAAAATATAAGATACCAACTTCTAGGGTGAACTGATCACCCCTGGCCCAATAAGGTGAAGGACGGGTGGGGTTGAGGACACCCTCCCTGAAGGGGTGCACGAGGGGGGAAAAGGAAAGAATAAGATCGGGAGGATGTGAACACAGAGACCGCTTCTGACTGCTACCTTACAATTTCTAGGTTTGAGCCGAATTTCATAGAAATTTGTTAGAAGAGTTGAGATGATTATTTTTCTGAGCTTTAGACAAATCTTTCTTGGTTTGTTGTGGTATACTAGCCACAAATCAAATGTAAGGGGTACTTTGATATCTCAAAGCAAAATTGAATTGACTGTCAGTCAAGTACAACTATACCAAGTAGTTGTCTACGGAAAATCTCTATATGTTTGCACAATTTAAAGGAAGCAAGTTATTTATTTCGTTGACAAGAACAAATATGGTTACCAGTGAGTGCACACAGAGTCCATGGATGGCATGCACAAGGCTGTAAATGAGAATGGCAGTCTACTGTCGAATGATTTTTAAGTAGCTAACATCCAATCTGGGTGGGTAGGAATCTCTCTCCGTACAACAGAGGCTCAGGGCAGCACATGGAACAGGTGCATTAGAAATACCTGAACATTCAGGATCAACTAAGCCAAGCCTCTCATCAGGTAGGAGAGAAAGATCTACTGCCTTATGGGCCTGCCAGAGCACGGAGTGAGTTGCAAATCGGGGTACCATCATTCCCATCTACAAAGAGCTATTCTGAGATGCCGCCATCTTGAATGTAGAAATGTGCTGGCAGAAAAGGAGGTGTTTCTTTTCATTTGAAACCTGTAGAGGAAGCCTGATATTTCTTAAAAGAGATTTTCTTTTGTTGCAGGGAACGTAACAGGATTACTTGTCAAGGACCTGCTCCATCACTTACAATTGAAGAAAACCTGTTTAGAGAAAACTACTTTATTGGGGGGGAAAAATGACTTTGGAACATTTGAAATACCTTGACCTATGATGTAATGCCCTCCAAGGAGACTGAGCTAGTAATTCTTCACTGGCAATGCAGTCACCTTTCACCTTACTGAGTGTACAGGTAAGTAATAGCTCCAGACTGATTGACCACAATGAATAATACCCACAAGTCATAAACATCAGCAGAAACCCAAGAAATCCAATTTTGCTGTATTGTGTTCTACCTGTCAGAGGCTACAGCTGTATTTACACACTGCCTATATCAGGATCTCAGCAGCTGTTAGGTTTTCCTCTGCAAATTTGCTTTCCACTAGCCAGGGTCATGGCAGTTCTGTACAACAGAGCTACTGGGGTCCCATGTGATCCACATACATTTACACTCCATTTCTCAGGACCTAAGATAAGGCAAGTCTAAGTTTTGGAACGGAGAGCCACAATCCTAGGTTAAAACCAAGCAGCCTAGACACTGCCTCATTTTTAAAGCCTTGGGTAGAGTCCTAATGACCCATGGTAACTTTGGTTTTATTAAATGGGATCTTAATGAGCATTTACTCAGATCCTTCTATGTTCTATACTGGCTAGCTGGTATGCAGAGATAATGGATTAAAAATACATACACAACACACACCATGAAAATTAAATGTACAAATGCTAAGGAAACAAAGAAAAATGCTACGAAGAGAAAATGGTGAGATTAATTCTGTGGACTTCCTGGAGGAAGCGTGTCTGATGTTTAGAAAGAAGGAAGATGTATCAGAAACCAAACACAGTTGTCTAAGAGGCATTCAATCATACAAAGAAATGAGATTTCCAAAAGGAAAGTATTTTTATAAATACATAATGATTACAATGGGAAATATTTATTAATAGCTATATCAATATCACTAAAAAGTTCAAACAGTATAAGACTCACTATCCTCAAGAATTGTACGATCAATCTTGGCATGAGGGAAAGATTAGATAGTGTTATGGAGTGAATGTCTGTTTCCCCCGCAAATTTCTATGTTGAAACCCTACCCCCTCCCATGTGATGATGGTAAGAGGAGCTGCGGCCTTTGGGAGATAATGAAGATTCCATGAGATCATGGGACTGGAATCTTTGGAACAGGATTAGTGTCCTTATAAGAGTCACAAAGCCAGCAGTCTAAAAACTGGAAGTGGGGCTCTCACCAGAACCCAGCCATGCTGACACCCTGATCTTAAAAATCCAACCCGCACAACTGTGGAAAATAAATTTCTGTTGTTTATAAGCCAAAGTATTTGTGTTATAGCAGCCCGAACTGAGTAAGATAGATAGACAGGCAGGCAGAAAGAGACACTGGTATAGGTAGGTATACAGATACACATATACCACTCAACTATCAAATAACACTGCGTGGTAAATATTAACTAATACTAGAAGGTAATAGCGTCCTAATGTTAAATATTGGGTATGGACAGAGAAAGGTAATATTTAGAATCTTCCTGGGGATGCGAGTACGAGAGAAAGCTTCCAGAAGGTGAAAACAAAGTTACACCCTGAAGATAGGTCAGACGGGTCTTGAGCAAAAAAATGGGGCAGGACATTTTAGGCAGAGGGACTCAAAGGGTGCAGGTGACACACAAGCGCTACTGGAGAACAACACACCATCCTAGAAGTTGGAAAAGAAAAAAGTAGGGTGAGGTATTACTTATCCTAGTTCCACTCCTCAGAGAAGCTGTTGATAATCGACACATGCCTAGAACCATGGGGACTTTGGAGGGACAGCTGTCTGTATCCGGGTTAGCCAACCATCACCCAGGATTAGGTTAGAAATGCATATTTTCAGGCTCCCCCTCAAACCTAACAGTCACTCTGGGGTGGGACCCAGCAGTGTGGGCTTAGCAAGCCCTACGGGTGACTCTAATGAGTTTTCAAATTCGAGAAGCACTCCTGACTCAGTGATAAAATCTGGACTGAAATACGCTTATAAGTAAAGCCTTTAAGAGACACACAAGAAATATTCTATGTACTGAAGAGAAATACAGATCTATTTTATCTAATGCACAGAAAAAATCAAGTTCTTGATTTTCAGACTTGTTTCAAACTACTTATTCCCCCCTGCCCCCCTTTCTTGGTCTCTCAATGTTGGGAGTGCTTTCCATGACATTTTAAAATCTGTATGACTAGCAAGCTGGGGAATTCACTCCTCGTTTGATTTATGACCAAAAATATCAAGCTCTTCATGTTTTAGGCATGGACGTGCTGTGAATTGAGCTCTGGCTATATCGTGGCTCATAATGTCACTTTTCTACAGAACCACTATGGAAGAAGGATGACTGACTAAACTGTTCTCCACTGACTGCAATAAACTCTTACTGAAAGAAACAATTGGAGATCTGGTTTTTGCTTATACATACACACGCACCCCAAGTTCCACCCCAGGAGTGCCCAGCAGTAGATTCTAGGTTCCGATGTACCCACTATCATAGTTGCTTAGAGTACTAAAGCAAAAAAGAGTATATTCACTCTGGAAAAAGAACAGCAAAAATGACAAGCATGTTTGAGTGGTATGTAATTTAAATCCACAATAAACACTCTTCAGCATATAAATACACATAGATGAAAAATCTTGTGTGTGTGTGTGTGGGGGGGAATCTCATCTGGAGATTTCACTTTTGGGTTTCACTTTGATTTTCAGTTATATTTTCAAAGTCTTCAGATCACCCCCAAATTTTAGCACACCAAATTTCTCCCAGCCTCTGTTAATACTTAATAAGTTCATAATGATTTCATGTGAATCCAGCAGTAACTATAAAAAGCGAAGTAATGTGAGGAACACTTTCCAATTCCATTTAATGTCCCAAGAATGCCCAGCTAAGGTCGCACGACATCATTACCTATGATTTATTTTAAGCAACTTTGATTTTTTTAAAAAACTTTTCTTTTTTAACTTTAAAGACAGGACCCCCGAATAGTCTCAGGATGAAATATAAATGTATTTATAGATGTAACTTGATTGACTAATCAAGTAATGTCATGTAATCAGTAGCGGAGCTCTTTTTTCCCTTGTCTGAGCATTTCTGTGAAATGCGATGCTCTTCTGAGGTCCCACTCCACCACCAACCTGCACTGCCTCCACAGCCCGGGTTAACACGGAAAGACAAACCCTCACGCAGTCAAACCAGGCCCATGGTGCTTTGTCTGTATTGGTATCATTTGTCCAAATATACCTGAGCTGATCTCCACATGCCTGGCACTAAATGGAACTAGGAAGATAAAATTAGATATTTTATCCATCAGATGTTAATTGTGCAAGGTGCTATAGAGCAGACAGAGCGAATGCTAACATAAACCCCTCAAAAATCCATCCAACTAAAATACCATTCTATAGATAGTTTCAATAGTTTATTGATCCCAAGGCATGCATTCTCTTATCTCTGAAAGTTTGCATAATTAGTGAGAAAACATCCTGAGCAGGATAATAACAAATTTCCTTTGCGCAACCAAAAACTGCCACGGATTGAACTTAAAACAGATTTGAATTAGCACTCACCCACCCTTTCCATCCTGGGAATACACAAAAGCTACTCAGGAAAGGCCTTTTTCATGGACCCTTCGCCCTTTGGCAGAACAATGGATTAGAGAACGAAGGTCCTTAGATGTGATGGCATCAGAACCCACTGGCCATGTAAACTCCAAAATCAAGGTCATGGGTTCTTCCTCCCACAACACCAAACAGAAGCTCAGTGACTTACGCCGTGGATATCCAGTCCCCATCTGCGGGAAGGTGGTTTTTGTCTGTTCCAGGAGGCCCGTGGACAGTTGTGGTCGTGGGAGATGGGGAGGAAAGCGAGTCTAGACTGCTGGTAGGGGTGTCCTCCTTAGGGGGGTTAGGGCTGTCACCTAGAGAGGAAAAAAAGGTGTCAACTTTCAAACAAATAGAGGAGAAAAAAACTCCACCAATAATTGTATGGTATCACTTAATGAGTCAATAATTTAAATCCCAAATTACATTTACAATTCAGCCTGAGAGTATCTGGGTATCCTGTCTATAAACATTTTGCTGTGGTTTTTTTTTTCTTTTAATCAAATATATTTTATGTCATAGATAATATACACTGAGGAGTGTTTTCCCCATGAAAAAATACAATAATCAATATCAGATCAAATGGAAGATGAAAGCCGTAATGTGGCCACAGTGACTTCCTAATCTATAAGGATCACTAATGTAAATTATACTGATAACCTCCAGAACAATTCAGAGCAGTACACCAGCCCCGTAGGGTCCAACCTCTCCCTTTCTCATCACCTGATGGTTCTCTAAGCCATTGGCAGTCACCACTGAGTGCTTAATAAATTAACCAACTCTAAAAGGACGTTGTCTTTTGAGCTGGATTACAATTTAATGGCCTCACGTATTAAAATCCTGGACATAGAGAAACTTCCATTTCCCTGTGAATGTTGGGGAGCATGTCATACAAGAACCAGACCCCTGCAGTGACTCCAGAAGATGACTTTAAACCCAAACTAAAAGGCATTTCTTAAATGGACTGCATGATTTATTCATTCACAGAGGGCCATTTTATGACATACGTTTAGTATCATTTATATACATTATGGGCTTGGGTGGAAAATGCAAAAGATGGAAAAGAGAGCCCTCAAGAACAGCTGTTTCCCTCAGGTGGTCTCCTTGCTATTATAGTATCCCAGCCACCATAGGTGCACCTGCGCAGCACCCATCAGAGCTGGGACCCTGCAGCCAGACTGGCACTCCCCATTAAACATTAACTGCTCCGGGTATCTTGCAGAAGGCACTGACTTGGCCTTGATGTTATAGGTGATGGGTGATATTAGGTGGTCAACAAACTGCTACATGGAAACAGGTGATACCCAGCGTAGGGGTCTATACCCCCAACCACAGCTAGTTCTGGCCGATTAAACCTTACGTTTTTCCTCAGTCCTGGGTCCTGGAAACAGCATATGCACAAACACCACAAACATCAAGGAACTTGATTTCAGAAAACCATCTTAAACAAATTTCAATTCTACTTTTAATAAAGCACAAGAGAAATTCTGGGCTCTGGTTAAGCTAGATCCCAAGACACGAATCCTGAAAATAGACTGCATGAAATAATTCTTATTTAACTCTGACCCATGTTACACCTAAGGCTAAGACAAAAAAAAAAATCTTAGAAATGGGGATCTAGAAAAGCTAAATTCAGGGAAGTAGGACTTAGAATGGTGGTGATGGCTGGAAGAAGGAATTCTTTCTAAGGGAGTTACAGGGAGGTACCTAGATGATCCTGTACAGAAGATTCTAGTAAGGAACAGTTTTCTGAGCCTCTTCTTTCATAAGTGTGCAGTCAGGGAGGGTGGGAGATGTGATGGAAGAAGAGATGAACATGATCTCTGTGCTCAAGTCTTCTCCTTGGTCTCAATCTCCCCATAAAAGCCTGCTCTGTCCGCATTCCTAAGTGTACAGTCTAGAATACTGTATAATTCCTCTTTCAGAGAAGTCACTTTTTCTGCATCACTTCACTACAAAAGCATTTAGCAAATTGGAATAATTCAGCCCCAAATGGAAAGGCCCATGTTCAGGCGAATGAACTGAATCCCAGCGATAGACCGCTATGATTTCCTTTGGATTTATTTTCGCTCTGGGATATTTAGCCCCCTGAAAAACAAAGGCTACTTCTTCCCTTACACACCTGGATAGCTCAAATACATCCAGTTCTTTTCCACAAATGAGCCCAAGAATAAGGGACCAGAACTCCAGCTTTCCCAGGCCCCTCCCCTGTGTCCCTCAGTCATCATGAGCAATGACTCCCTTCCAAGTTAAAGTCTCAAATGTAAGCCCAGTGCAGGGTCTAAAGTAAACGCCTGTGAATTACCTGCACAGCAGCTGCCAATTCGAGGCTTGGCTAGAAGTAGCAAAGTATGATCAGTTCTGAAGCCGACAGGATGACCTCCACCATGAGTCAGAGGTCAGCAGCTTCCTGGCTTCTGGAGGCTGGATCCTGGCCCTCAGCTCTCTGGGCCTCACTGCCTGACAGCAGGGCAGAGCCGGACACAGTACAAGCAGCCAGTGAGAGTCCTGGACCTGATTACCTGATTCGCTCCTACAAGGAGGAGCCTGTCAATGGGAAGCAAGTTTGGGAAACGGGACAGCAAGGGTCTAACGTTACTTTCAAGAGAGCCTGAAATGTTTTTACAAGCTACAATACTAGCTCATCACACTGCCTGGAATCCTTTTCCCAAGCAGACTGACACAGCACTAATTGCCATTCCACATATTAAATCACATTCTATTAGGAAAATCTCTCTCTTCCTTCCTGTCAAACAGTGGCAATCTGAACCCTCAAGTGAAAAGAATATTGGTAGAAAGGAATATGTTTACACAAACTGATCAAATGAAGCGATACCTCGCCCTGCTTTCCGTGTGCACAAAATTCCTTTCTCCTTCACTATTCAGGAATGAGCTTATCTACTTGACAATCACTGAATTCAAGGGAACACAAACACCAAGCACATAAACATTAAGTACTTGTAACCATTTCTGAAGCTTGAGTTCGCCAAAATCAAATGACTACTTTTTAACTAGTATGAAAATAATACAACTGTAAAAAAAAAACCCCAAAAAACCAACTACGTTCAGTGATGTCTGGAATGAAGATTTTAATTCGTACGTGAGAATGAAGTCAGATAGACACCCTCTTCATTTTTCACCATTCATGTCTCTTGAGGGTCACATGACTTCTTTCCTTAGGTGTCACCCTTTAACAGGCATCTATCTACAGGCAAACCACCTGTGAGGAACGAGATTGTTCCAGGTAAGTGAACAAAAATGGTGCTGAAGGACTTCAAGATAAGAAACTCACAAGAAACAGAACTATCTCCCGCTATAAGAGCAAATGAGTTCCCCACAGCGTCCAGCCTAATTCCCACCTTCCCCATGAAGCACTAGCCAACCACCTTTTTTCCTCTCCTCTCCTTTCGCACCACTATAAGCAGAAATCGGGTTCGCATTCCACTGTCATCTAGTGGTTTCGTGACCTGGTTTTAGGTCGCCCTTTCCATTACACAGTTGTGGAGGGTGACGATCATGTGTCAGTCTTGGTAATCCTTAAAGAACACGTTGCCGTGCCAGGCAAATCGGGAGTCTACAGGAAACACAGACTGTGCTCTTGCTGCCCCACGGAGTGTCATGACCACAGAATACCAGCACCTCTGGGCATTCAGGAGGGAAGCAATCTGCAAACCTCAAAGTATTGCCACACGAGCTGCACACAGCTGGCAATGAGCAATCTCTCCCCTTTCAAGCCATGCACATCTCTAGCCCTCTTTATTCAATGCACAGCATTAACTGAGCTTGTACTGTGATGTACAAGGCACATCGCAGGTGCTGAATTATAAAGGTGAAGAATCAGTCGCTAACCTGAAGGTGCTCCCCGCATAGTGCAGAAGAGAGTCAGGTAGAACACAAACACAGCAGAAGGTGGCATATGCTGTAATACGTGCGTATCAAGGAGCTTTGAGACCCAGAGACAGGAATTCCCAAACCTGCCAGTAGTGGGGGAGAAAGACAGGAGAGTCAGGCAACAGGAACAGGAAGACATTATTGCCCGACTTTCAACCAAAGACCACCTGGAGAGAAAATGTCAAGACTAAAAAAATAGAAGAAAGAAAAACTATGGCAGTTTTCAGATAGTTGGATCTGGCTGGAGAACAGGGTCAAAGGCAGAAAGCAGGCTATGAAGTGTGGGGCAGAGTGCTGACTCTACTAAGGCATCTGAATTTGTTTTGTAGGCACTGGGAAGTTATTACAGGAATTAAGTAGGGAAGTGATATGATCCAGAGAATAGATTCAGAGATATTCAGGTATTACGGTCATTATAAGTCTATGAATGAAGATGAAGGGGAAAAGGGAAACCTAAGATGACCTTGGCTTAGGTCATCTGACCCAAGTTCTTGGCTTAGGTAACTGGGTGAATGGTAGAATTAGTCACTGGAATAGTGAATTTAAAATAAAAAGGGAGCATATTGGGTATGGGAGATATTGACATCAGTTGTAGACATCTTGGGCTTGAGGTGCCAATAAGAAATCCGGGTGAAAATATCTAGAGGAGAGTTGGTTATAAAACCGCAGAGCTCAGGAGAGAGGTCTGGGACAGTTTTATTGATTTGAGAATCATGCAGACAGAGCTGAAGTCATGGCACTGGATGGAGAGAACAACAGAGAGAAAAGAGAACTGTAAGAGAACCTTGGAGGAACCTCAGATGTAAAGAGCAGGCTTCTCCTCAAAGCAGCGTGGGCGGTGGTGGTGCTGGTTATTGTTGTCACTTTAAATACAGAGACGTGTTATCTCACAAATATTTACAATCCCCTCACAGACATAGATTCTCATAAAAACTGGACAAAAAAAGCACTCAAGAGGACATGACTTTCATGACAGCTACCGGATTACACTATTTAGTCTGATTTCTTTATAACCCTGAGCACATGAACAGGTGTGTTATTTATTTTCAGGCAAGACTAAAACAGTCTTCAAAGACTGGCAGAAAATTAGAGCTAGAAGAGGGAATAAGAACTTGATAATGCTGTCATATCTACCAATTTAGAGGATGTTTTTTGATCTAGTTAATTGACCTTTCTTACTCTAATAATGGTTAAGTTATACACACTCTCTCTATTCATCTTCTGGTCATGTCACTTAAATGGAAGTGTTTTTGCAGTGTTGGAGGGCACAAGGCTTTGAGTTTTCCCTCCATTTCATGCATTTCTTCCTTGTCTTCCTCTAAAATATATTTTCTAACAGTTAAGGAGTCAGAGATAGTTCCCTTTGAATCCCTTACCAGCTGTTTTCCACTTGGCATACAATGTGTGGGTAGGGTATGAAACCACA